ACTGAAGGTTGATCCACAATTGTATTCGATCATTTTCGGTGAGAGTATATTGAACGATGCCACCGCCATCGTACTTTATGAGTAAGCAATTATTATATAAAAAATTTGAGCTTTTTGTCAGACAATTTATATCTCAACTTGCTTTTTCAATGCTTTTGGTTATAAGAACTCTGAAACAATACCGCGGGGAAGATTTTCATATTACAAACATTTCTCATGGTATTCTTTCTTTTTTTGTCAACTTTGGAGCTTCCTTATTCCTTGGAGTTCTATTTGGAGCTTTGAGCGCTTTGATATCCTTTATATTACTTTGCATTACATGCTTTTACATACTGTTGAACTTTCTAAAACTGATATACATGATGAGCATATGTTGTATCTGCATTGAGAGGTTATTAAATATTGAAAACGTTAAACCATTAGATTTATATAGCAGAAAAGGACTCGGAAGTTTAATTTTCCGTCAGATTTAGCAGGTCATTAGTTTGTCAGGAGGAGGAGGTTCAGCAGTACTTTTAAATGTTTCATAGTTCCTTAACTGGTATGTTTACATGTTGAAGTATTCAAAATTATATAGGTTTCCTGCCATCGAATCATGTATCATTGCGCTGATGGCATATGCTTCATATTTGTTTTCTAATGGCTGTCATTTATCTGGTATGCAGCTTAACACTTGCTCAAATTTTATGTTCATACTTTAAATGTATCTTACATCATAATGATTCATTGTAGGCATTGTGTCTCTTTTATTCTGTGGTATCACGCTTAAACACTATGCATATGATAATATGTCTTTAATGACCAAGCGAACTACAAAATATATGTTTCGAGTTTTAGCGCAATTATCTGAAAATTTTATATTCATCTATCTTGGATTAACATTATTTACTGAGAAAGATCTTGAATATAAGCCATTCTTTATATTTTTCACCGCAGTAAGTGAAAATTTAACAAAAATTTTATGTATTACATTTTTCTGTAACGTTATTAATAAATGGCTTTGTTTAATGTAGATATTTATATGCGTGTCTCGATATTGTGCCGTGTTTCCACTTTCGAATATGTTAAATGCTATTGCGCGTTATCGTAAACGGTCAGAAATAATTCCAAGTAAACATTCCGCAATGATCTTCTGGTGTGGTATGTATTATAAATTCATATCTATTATCTTGTATTATTTGTTAAGTACCGTATTTTCCCAACATGTATACCCCCGTGGGCTATACCCTGCAGCAATTTAGAGTGCCAAATTTGATTTATACCTGGGTATATAAGTATGGGAGTAGGGTTGTTAATGGAGTACTCCAGACTATAATAAAACATATAACACGCCTCTGGAGTGCTCCGGAGTGGGTTATATGGTTTATTATTAACTGGAGTATTCCTATATGGGAGTATCATACTTATGTACCCGGGCATATAATAGTAAAACATATCAAAAACATAGAAGTATTCGTACAGTATACCCCCCCCTACACACGTACCCCGGGGTACTAAAATGGGCCCCGGGTACACATGTTGGTATATCCCAATTTTCCATACGATTACATGGAAATTGAGAAATCTTTATAAGAATACTGTTTAGATAAGACTCGCCTTTTAATAATTATCTTTTCTTTAAGGTTTGCGTGGTGCTGTGGCGTTTGCATTAGCAGCTGGTCTCAAAGGTGATAATGCTAATGCTATGAAGACAACAATTTTGGTAGTAGTGGTACTTAGTGTTATCGTATTTGGTGGCACGACAAGTCGAATGTTAGAAATTCTTAAAATAGAAACAGGAATAGACGAGGGAGAAATTGATAGCGATGAAGAATGTTATAGTGAATATGATGATTATAATCACGTGCTAACAAATTCTCAGGGGTCAATTGTATCGTCTGATACTGGAGGTTCTGGGGAACACAATATTCCGTCAAGAAATATATCCCCGAACATCAATGATACATCAACACATGCTCATTGGTTTATATCATTTGATGATAAGTATCTTAAGCCAATATTTATACGTCAACGTGATCAAATTACAAAGCCGGAAGATAGGTGGCAGAATGAGAGCAACAGTAATGATGAAATAACTGGCCTGAGTTCGGATCACAAAAACACTAGAGTTTAAGTAGATTTTCTGACGATTTCTATGGGACTTTGTCAGTGTGATAGATTTACCAATCACCTAATTTGCATCTAAAAAAAATTAAATAAAACCACTATTTTATAATATTTAATTACCTTTAGATACATTTCAAATTACAGCTATGTGATGTTAAATAGAGTTGTACATATAGCCTTTTTTTTTTATTACTTAAAAAGCAAAATTTTTTTAATTTATTAATAATATAGTTCGATTTATGAAATCATTAAAATTTTGATCTAATTGGGGTTGGTCTGTTTATATTTGTTACTGTCACAGGTAAAAGTGCATTCCCGAAAAGTAAGAAATAACTGCATCACAAATTACTTGACAGGTAATGTTTTCATTAACGTTGAGGCTTAGAAATCATACGATAATATTATGAATCGTATGATTACTTATGATTATAGTTGGGAACCGAAACTTTTTTATTGAACCTAAAAGTTTCCGATTTCGGCTATAGTTATCAAAACCTAATCAAAACCCTAAACTGATAATCTAAAACTAATACCGAAATCCCAAGCAAATATCGAAATCCCAAATCAATGTTAAAACCCTAAACTAACAAGATTTTCCCAAAATCTAAACCACTATCGAAATCCCAAACAGATACCAAAATCCAAAACTAATACTAAATCCCAAACTTATGTCGAATCCCAAACTTATATTAAAATCCTAAATTTAGTTTGTAATTTTGACATTATTTCAGATTCGGTATTAGTTTGGGATTTCGAGATTGGTTTGGGATTTTGGCATTGGTTTGGGATTTTGGCATTGGTTTGGATTTTGGCATTGGTTTGGGATTTTGGCATTGGTTTGGGATTTTGGCATTGGTTTGGGTTTGGGATTTTGGCATTGGTTTGGGTTTGGGATTTTGGCATTGGTTTGGGATTTTGGCATTGGTTTGGGATTTTGGCATTGGTTTGGGATTTTGGCATTGGTTTGGATTTGGGTTTAGTTTAGGATTTGGGATTTAGGTAAAAAAATATCAAATCCGAAACTAACTAATACTATAGCCTAAACCTAAAGGGTTTAGGAAGGTTCGGGTTTCGGTTCCCAGCTTTACTTATGATGGTTACACAAACGCGAACTAAAGGAATTTCTCATTACGCGTGGCAGTGCATCGAGAAAAAGTTGTGTTTCTGGCTCAGATTAACGTAGGGAAAAGGAATTATATAATTTCTCTTATGAATCATTAAAATCATCGTTAAAGTCCTTTTCCTTCAAACGAATATTGTAAAATTTTTAAGAGTCCTAGCTAAGAAATAATAAGTCAAAGCCTTCTTTGTCAATATTGTGTTTTCGCTGTTATAAAAATACAACTCGGGTTAAACAATTCAATCAATTAATAAAACTACAAATCCATAAAAATATAACCTAAATCTTTTTTTGCCAAATCACGTCAGGTCTCTAATAACTTGCTAACTTGCTTTGAAATCGTATTATCGATTATCGTTCGCCTGTTAAACTTATGTTAATTTCCGCCCGTAACACTACCAAAATGTTTTTCTCCAATGAGGCGTCTCTAACAACTTAATGTGATGGGTATGAATGTAAAAATGTTGACGTCACTGGGTTATATCCTATTGTAAAGACGTGTCGACGCGTCTTTTACGATGGAATATTCCCAGTAGCGTAAATATGTCTGCACCTATAGTAGGGTGCTCTGTAAAATGATTGTCGACGAAGTGGCACGTAGAGATGTACCTCGCGTGACGTGGCAAACTATGCCTTGCGCGACTCTCACGAGTTTCGATTAAGAAAATTTGAATGAATTTTTAGCATATATTCTAAAATGAATTTTCTAACGAACCCGTGCCAGGTTACCTCTCGAGAGGTGCATCTCTAGTGACACGTATAGATTCAACAGCAAGTGGAAATTTATATCATTTTCAAATCAAGATGAAATTCATCAAATGTAATACCTTCATGTGAGAAAAAAAAGGTGATATTTTTGGCCATTAAATACAATGTTAAACAATGCAATGTTAAACTATTGATTGTAGATAAAAAGTTCTGGAAAGAGAACTGACAAAGTTATTTTATATAATTATTTAAATAGTACAATACTATTACAAGTTTCTCCTAAAGACTTAGGGTAAGCGGAATCAATCTTGTAATAAGCTGCTTAACTATTTTTTAAATAAAATTCGACTAAGAATTCTCTTTAATTCGCAATTATTTAAGAATAATTTGGTTATGCAAAAACAAAAACTTATGATAATCCCCATCATACATGCCATTTTATTATCTTAAAAAAAAATCAATAATAATTTCAATACTAAATAATTCTTTTTACAATTGAATCCAATTTATTAAATTAAAGCCATATTTCCTACACGCATATATTAAACAAATATCTTCAATCATCATCAAAACTAGCAGGGGGTACAAATTTTCCGTCTTCACTGTCACCATTCCAACCGGCGGGCCATTTCTTACTTGGTTCATTTCCCATTTCAAATTCAAGTATTCCACCATTTTCAATTTCTTTATGTCTAAACCAACTCATTTTCCAATCTTTACCATTAAGTTTTACACTTCGAATATATATATTTCTAGGTGTTAAGTTTGGTGCTTTTATTATGAATTGTGTAGTTGGTGACATTTGGATTGTTATGTTTGAAAATTGCGGAGAGTTTATTAAGTATATGTCTTGACCGGCTCTGTTGTTTTGCAAATTCAATAAATTCAATAAGAGTTCATTCAAAATAAACTCGAAATTTTGTGTTTTTGAATAATAACTCACATTGGATAAATCCCTATGGCATGGAAGATGAACCAACTACTCAATGCGCTAGAAGCGTCGTCTGTAGTAAAAAAAGGAATTAAATACAGTCTAAGTGATCTATATTAAACGCTCATGTGATCAATTCGGTATCTTTAAAAGAGATGGGATCCGTCTATCCGTTGCGATTTGTTGTAGTCATATCTTCATAGTAATTTTATTACATGTTTAAAATTGGAGGATATCCGGATCCATCTCTACTTTAAAACACTTCAATTCATTATGCAGGCGATAACTCTGTCTTAGTAACAAGCTTTACAAAGTTATCGGTCAGATTTTTAAAATTTTAGTTCTAAGTGAATTGAAAGGTTTTAAATTTCTTATTGATACTAGCTTCCTTAAAAAAACTAACTATTTGATAGAACTAATGTTTCTCTATAGAGTTATCATTTTTTTTTTTTAAAAAAAAAAAAAAAAATCTTATCCATAAAATCGAAATAAATCACATGGTCACAAAATATATACTACATCGTATGTGACTCTAATGAAATAGATCATAATAAAACAACATAAATACGTGTGCAAATAAACAAAACTTACCGGGAAGATTGTCTATTTTATATTTCTTTTCCAATATATCTCTGATAACACTTATACTTTTCCATTGTTTACCAATAAAATGATACAAACAAGGGTGAAAAAAACTATGTACGTTTCCAAATTGGAATAATGGTGTCTCATAAGTTGAGTTAGAAAAAGTTAAGTCAAGTCTCTTTTCAAAATTTGCAACGCCACCGGACAATTGTATTAATTTATTCACGCCTAAAATAAGAAATCACATGTTAAAAAAATGTATTGGAAATAAATAAATCTAACTTGAATAGTGTACAGACCATGTGGAATGTCTAAACTATACTCCCATGGAGTTCCTTTAAGGAATGCATATCCTTCACGTAATACGTTTACAGAAGGGTCGAATGACCCATCAGTACGTTTAGGTGTGATAAACCCAGTGATACCTGTGCCAATATTAAATCAAGTATTAGACAGGAAATATTGAATAGGTTAAAAAGATGAATCTTAACGAACCATTTTCAGTTATATTAGGACACCATAAATTCTGCCAACTATTTGCACGAGTTTTATATTTAATATGATCCTCGGTTTTGCCTAAACCTTTACAAATCAAGTTACATTAATGAAGCTGAATCACTACCTTACATGACGTGCCTGAAGTTACACATGACCAAAATTATAATTTAATGCAGTAAGAAGATCTAATATCAGGGGCTTATTTCAGTAAGATGTGACTTCAGGTGCGACATATATATAACGATTAACAAAGTATAAAATCTAACCTTTAGCAACTAATGATATTGCATAATCATTTGCTGAATATTCTAATGTTCTACTACATGAGTCAACTGAACCGCTGGAAGGTATGTATCCGTAATAAAGATAATGTCTAAGGTTCAATCTTCCTTCCATTTGACCATACCAAAATGGATCTGCCTCAGCGTCTTTCACCAAAGCTTTATATCCAGATTCCCAATCAATAATATCCTTGCCGATTTCCTTTAAAAATATTTCAGCCTATACAAAAGTACATTAGACATTAATATATTAAAATATTAAGCATTACTTCAAGAATTATTCTAATGTTGGATTCTTTACCAAAACCATATCAGAATGAGTGCCACCTTGCGCAACTTCATTGGCCATACCACAGCGACCGTCAGGCATATATCCTGTATAACGATATATGTCAATAAGTGAACGTGTAATATCGATCATCCGTCGTTGTTGGAACAGCGTGAATAGCGGAACTGTAGTCCTTTTATAATAAAACAAAAAATTGTTTTTTTATTACGTTTTATTTAGGAATAAAAGATTGGAACTAAATATATAGCTTACCTGAAGATGCTTCGCTATTTAAATCGAATAATGCAAAATAGGCATATTATGATCAATTATTTTATATAGAATGAAACAACACAGGCATCTTATTCAAGATGAAATTTACTAATGTGAAAAAATCGTCATAGTTGGGTATAATTCTACCATTTTTATCAAAAGATATCCAATCTGGATTTTCTCCCGTACTGCAGGAGAATGAATTCATTAGCCATTTATAAGGAAAGCAAATTGGATTGATATTAACTTACCGATCACTTGGAATAATCATAGTCCTGTACAAGTTCGAGTAAAATATCTTTTTCAAATCCTCAGTTCCACCGGTGACTTGAATTTTCTCAAGTTCAACTTCCCAAGCTTCAACAGCCTTTTCTCTTGTTAAATCAAAATCCCAATTTGGTATCTCCTCTTGTGCATTTTTACATGCTTGATCCGTAGAAATAAATGATATACCGACTCGAGATTTGATTATAGAACCCTTTGTAGTATCAAATGCCATAATAGCACCAATAGAATAGAGTCTACCAGATTCAAAACTAGAATTTGATGTAATTACTCCA